CATGTTTTAGGGCAACAAAGTTAAGTCCTACTGATAAAAATCTGAAACATAATAATTTAGATTAAATGTTAAGTACCTAGTAGGTAATACCTACATTACATAACATTATTATATTAAATATAGCTGAAGAACTGAAAAAAAAATGGAAAAATATACGTGACAATTATACTCGAGAAGTTAATGAGACGAGACGTGAAGGTGCAAGTGGTTCTGAAGCGTCAAGAAAAAATAGAAAAGTTTATGCTTATGCAGAAATCTTAAATTTTTTACAACCTGTTGTGAAAAAAAGAAAGTAAGTACTAAGTTTTATAATTACTTGGTAGAAATAATAATAAATATATTATATAAATTCACTATTATTGTTGATACATACAATTAATGTATTAATTATGACTTATGAGTATGCACAACTTAATTTATTAAAAATGTAATTTTATATTAATATTATATTATATCAAATATTATTATTATCATTATAACTTTAAATAACTGGTAGCTTTTTTTTATTTTAAAGTTTTCCTCACAATGATCATCTGAACTTAATGTTACTTAGTTTTTTATTTTTGCATTTAAACCATATTTATTTAGAAAATATAAAACTATTTACAACAATTTACAAATACCTAATAATGAATAAATTAATAAGGTAGTATTATAATAATACCGACTAAAATATTTGTTTATAAATTTATAATATTGATTCTTGTAAAATTATTTATTTTAGTTTTCTTAAATAATTGAAATCTATTGTTTTAATTTGTCAGGACCACTGGGAATATGAGTTTAATTGATACCACATCCGTTGAATATTCACCTACACATACAACTGGTATTGAAGATGTTGGTGATGGTTAACATTCTAGAAATTGGTTTGAACTGTGCAGATGCTAATGTTACACAATCGTCTTCAGCAAAAAAAAATAAAAAGTCTAAGCCCACATCATTTCAAGAATCTTTATTGGAAGCTATAAAAAACCCTCCTTTTTTAAATGTACCACCTGAAACAGAGGATCCTGATAAGGCATTTTTAATGTCATTTTTACCAGACATAAAAAAGTTAAATGAAGAAAATAAATTAGAACTTAAATTTCAATTCTTACAGTCCCTTAAAAAAATTTCTGAGTCCAATAATAAACGATACAACCAAAATTTACCAAGCAACTTTTATAGCGGTTTAAACGTTCAACAGATACCACCACAACCCCAAACATCTGTAGTCCATCAACCATATTATCCTTATTCATCATTCTCTGATTTATCTACCAACACTTATCTATCATCTGATAATGTAACTGTAACACCAGAACACCATGCAGCTAAAAACCCAGCATCGCTCTACCATCAATATTCATCAAATTCAGATGTATCCACTACTAGTACTAATATTTTTCATCCACTGAATACATTACCACCAAAGTTTAAGGAGTACTCCCTTTCAAATCTACCAAATCAACATAATATATCAGATAAATAAATAAATGTATTATTTGTAATCTCTGCATACATATAATACATATTTATTTTGAAAGTACTATGGTATAATAACATATTATTTTATTTTGTTAACATGGGAAAAAATAGTCCCACATTTTTGTTATTTTTTTTTATAATATTGTAACTATTTTTTAAATTATATTGTTTAAAACTTTAAAAGTAAGTTCCATTGATAAATTCAAGACTCAAGAGCAAAGACTGCCTACTTTATTTTATATACCGAATTTTAATATGTATTTTGATCAATTTAACTATATACTAGAGCTTTAAAATATAAGCTATAATAAAATATGTTAAATGTTGATTATAACTTATATGTATATAATATTTACTAAAGGTAAAAAAGTTTGATTGCCTATAAAAGTTTTGTTTTATAATATTAATTTGAAGACATATTATTAAAACTGTGTTATGTATTGTTTCTATATTTGAATTAGATTAAAAAAAAGTATAGTTGCAAATGATTTTAATTTTGAACAGCTTTTAATTTTATTTTGTTTATGAACTCAGAGCAATGAATGTAATAATAATAATAGTTTTACTATGAGTAATTGTTGGTCTTTGGATCTTTTATTATGTTTTGGTCTAAGAAATTTTGTATCAATCTTCCATTTTAAGAGTAATATTAGGTTAGAAATGTAATTTACCTTAATGTAATAGTAAGTCGTTGTTCAGCAGTTATAGGATTTCGGAATGGTGTGGTCTGCTTTGTTATATAAGGACAAATTTTTTCCAGTAATTCGTCAAACGTTGTAATGGACATTCTATAATATTCCAAAAATTTGTCTGGATAACATCTAATGTTTTCATAAAATGAATCAAACTGTCCTGATGATTCACGGTTTGAATTAATTGGATAGACCCAATATTTTCTATCTGGGGCTTGTGGATCTAATTGGCCAAAAGCTTCAGCAATACCAATTACCATGTTATAGTGGTAAATACACCGATTAAAATCCATTCTAAATAAGTTTAATGCATGGATAATAATTAATATTAAGAACTATAAATTATCATTTAATTGGCAATGGCACAAATAGGTAATTTTCTGAGGGATGACAGCTTCAGTCATGTGATATTTTTTAAAAGTATACAAGAGGTATCTCTATTGCAGGGCCTGATATTTGAGGGCTTATCCAATTCTTCTCACCCTTGTGCCACTGTTTTAATTGTATAAAAGTTGTATTGTATTATTTTATTCTAGTTTTTTAACTTACCTAGTACCTACTGAATACAGCTTAAACAAGTAATTATTCAATTTCACAATACTTAATACAACAAAATGCAAATTTGGATATACGATTATAATATAATAAAAATTAACTTGACTAGCTAAAGTAATAAAACACTGAACAATTAGTAAAAAACGTTCTATCGTCACCAAAATCTGTATGAGAATGGAGTATAAACTTCCTAACCTAAAACCGTTCTAGTTTGGCTCAAAGCGCGAACGGTAAAACCGCTCTAGTTTGGCGCAATGGCGCGAACGGTTTTATTGCCGCGGCGTTAAAACCGTTCGGACTCAACGGCGAAAATACCACAGTGTGGCGAGGCCCTAATACCGACTAGTATCCAATGTCATAATAAACAATATCAAATAAAATTACAGTATATTTTAATTGTGTTTATATCATTATTATACATTTGTTGATTGGCTGTTATAAATATTATGAGACGGATAATAAAATATTTTTGTGTTACACGCATGTGACAGTTAGTTTGATAGGGATGTGTTTTCTACCCAATATTTTACAGGATATCTGCCTATGTATTAGAAATAGTCTATGTACACTAAAAATATGGATGGACATTTTGAGTTTATATAATTATTTATTTTTGTAAGTAAAATATATGATGAATAATAATATGTATCAAATTATGACTCATATAAAAGTTGTTACTTGTTTGTATAACTGTAAAAACATTGGTAAAGAAATAATTTTCATGATGAGAAATACTTTTTAACAGGTTTTAGAATAACTGAAACTGTTTCTATGTGAAAGGTAATATTGTATTAAAGTTGTAAGTATTTAAGTTTTCAATATTAATTATTAAATATATTTGAGATTCTCTTGACAATATAAAAAAATTATAAGATATTAATTTTTAAATGTACCTATATATTATTCAAATAATTAATACAAATGATTATTCATATTCTGGATCTTAAGTGGCCTCAGTATTAACTTAAACATACTTAAGTCATAATCATACATATTATAATGGTTAATTATAATATTAAAATTATTATAATGGTTATTGAAATATTTCATTCAATAAATTGGTAAAAAAAAAATGTCTTTTTAAATGAGTATTCGTTACTATTGATTACCATATATTTGTATAATATTAATATATATAATATGTAGTCAATTATTTATAAGTATAAAACATAATATACAGTCACAGTTCTATCATTGAAGGAGTGTTCATGTTTTTTAGTATTTCAGCTCGCAAGCTGTTATAAAATAAGTTGGATGCCAAGATTTCATGACACGATAAGTAAAGACAACTTTCTCTTGTACTTCCCATTATATTTATTTTCCCATCCATTTTCAGGTGGCATGCGGTCTACATTTACTATTGTACAAAAGATTGGATTATTGCATCTATTTTTGAACTCAGTATTGTTGTATCCTTTTTAGACTTAATTTAATTTAATTATTAAATTGATACATGTGTCATATTTATTGTTTAAATATTCAATATTTGGGAAGTGACAATCGTCAACACAGGCTACAGGCATCATAGGATTAATAATTTTTCTATAAAAAATAATTATGAAGAAATCAAAGATTTATTTTAAAATTACAGTTCGTTTTCATAATAACATAATTTTTTAACAAGTAATACTTTTTTTTCAATTTAAAGTTATCATGTCTATTAGAAATTGTCTAATATTTTTGATCTTTTAAAAAATCTTAATTTATTATCCATGTGTGCCAGTGTGGCATTGTTCAAGTTTAATGATGATTTCTAAAAGTATAAAATATTATTGAATGCATTAATATTTGGAGTTTATTTTAAAATTAAATGTATGTATTTTTCAGGAGCAAGTGATCCGGGCTTTCCTACAAATTTTCTATTCGGTTTTCGCTGCTTTTTCCTTGCGCACTCACTGCGGTTTTTCTACCCAGTGCTAATTCTAAACATTTAATTGTTAGAAATATACGTTTTATTTCGGTTTTAATTGTGTTTTTATTATTTACAGTTTTCATTTTTTACAGTGTTTTTTATTATTAAATTATTTTTTAAATATTGTTTTTCTTCTATTTTTTAGTGTTAGGTATAGTTAGGTATAGTAAGGTATAGCTGTCTAAGAAAGTTAATTTTAGTCGGCTAAGATATACAAAAGTGTCGTTGAATTACAATATCAGACATACAAAAGTGTCATTGAATTACAATCTCAGACATACAAAAGTTTCCTACAAAAGCGTTGTCGATTTTATATAAGACACAGTAGGTTAACAATTTACAAGCTTAAAAATGAGTTTAAAACATAAATGGAATGAGGTAGTTCATTGTATTAAGACAGAATATCCAGAATTAAATGTTGAGAATGTCTCTGTTTCCAATAGTTGTGTAAATAATATTTGCGATTTCATCTTTAAGAAAGATACTGATCATAATTTGAGAAAATCAATAGTAAATGCTATTAAAAGAAAAAATTCATCTCTTCGTAAGTGTATTGAAACTATGCATTCCGCTGATGTGGCTAATACATCAGAAATTAATAAAAGCACAATAATCAAATTTTTAGAAAATTGTAATTACGATTTTGTAAATTACAATCACAAAACTCTAACTGACATATGTAGAAACATTAGAGTCACTCTAAATGATGCTAATAGGAATAAAGTGTACAAAGAATGTAGAAAGTACCTCAATCTGCCCCCGTGTCTATCAATGGACAACACTGACAATATTGATTCAAATATTTTTTATTTTAATGAAAATTCTGATAATGTTAATGGTACTTTTGAAAATTGCATTTCTTATTCGAAGCCCACAGAGTCTGAACCTCTGGAAAGTGACAATATTTCATTAGAATATACGAATGCATCGCCAGAAATTGATTTTATCCGGGTTGAGAGAGATCCACTAATACCTAGTAGTTCTCCAATTCTACCAGAAAATATAATCGATGAATCTGTTATTGTTACCCCCTGTAAAAAAAAAAGTAGCAAACATGTACCAAGCCCCCTCAGAAATGCTTTCTATAAGAAAACACCAGGGAAGTCTGGTGTTGTTCTACCTCTGGGAACAAAAAATCAATTTCCAAAACAATATGACAACCACGAGATGGTGTATCGTGAAGGATTTTTCAACATTTCATTTGAAGAAGGGTCTCTACGAATTATGTTGATCTCGGAGGTCAAGTCCGTTCGGACAAGACTAAATATCCGGTTATGTTCAGAATACTCATAATAAGGACTGTTAACAATACACGCGTTATGAATGCAAAAAAGGTAAAATATTATAAACACCATTGTAACGTGCACATGTATTGTAGCTACGAGGGGTGTAAACTTTTTAGAATTAAAGTGCAGCCTGCAAACGGAACATACAAGGCGATTGTGTATAGTTCTGCTTTAAATTATCATCACAATCCAATTGACAATGGTCTCACGAACCACGTAAAAGGGATTCAGCAAGACTTAAACAAAAAAGGGCTAAAAAAGACTAAAGCGTTTTCCTTCAGGTCGGACGCTGTTGACATGGCATCACCCACTCAGTTGAATAGTGGTAATTTGCAAGGCATGAAATCAGATGACGTCGTCAGAAAAATCAGATCAGAGGCCATAAGTGCCGATGATTATGACCTTGTATTGATGTGTAATGACAAACAAAACAACTTTGTAAAGCATGTCGGCATACTGTCCGTTCACTGATATAGTAACGAGCAGTTGGACATATTAAAAAATCTGATTAAAAAACAACAACCAGTAACTGGGTATTGGGATGCAACTGGTACAGTGGTCAGAAAAATTGACAAGAACAGCAAAAAGGTTCTGTTCTATTTGTTAATGTCATATTACCTAGAAACTCATGCGTCACGTGTCCCGTTGTTGAAATGATTAGTTCAGCCCATGACATTGTTGCGATTTCACAATGGCTGAACGCTTTTAAAGCATTCGTTTTGAAACACAAACTGACTTGGCCAGTATTCACAAATATAGTGACAGATTTCAGTTATGCCCAAATGAATGCCTTGTGTATAGGATGGAATGGTTTTACTTCCATATTCGACTACCTTAACTGGTGTTACAGAGTATTGGTTGAAAACCATGACGAATCTAATGTCACTATCATAAATATATGTGCAAATCATTACACAAAAATTATAGTTAACCATGTCTACACATATTTTTAAACTGAGAAAAACCATCGTTTGGCTGTAGAAAAAAAGAAAAGAAATGATGTTACTGATTGGATATGTATACTTTTTAACACAACCAGTTTGACAGATGTTGAACAATGGTTCAAAATATTTTAAGTAATACTGTTGTCACCTTATGGTACAGGACACACGAAAAATGCCATTAGTGCAATGAGAGCCAAGTGTAATGATAAATACCAATTGCCAAATGAACTGAACAACGAAGGTGAGGATCACTCGGAGGAAAAAAATAAATTTCTATGCGAATCCAACACGATTAATTCCATGATGTGTTGTAGATTTCGGTCAATTAAGGAACAGGTTAAATTTGAAGTCTTAAATTGTGCTGAAAATATTGAAAATATAAGCATTAATGAATATTATGATGAATCATATTTACACGAGTTTATAGTTAAGTGTGTACCTTTCTTAGCACTGTGAACACCTATTATGAATTATAAAGTCAGAAATAGCATTGAAATCCGCCAGAGTAATGCTACCGTTGAATCTAGGTTTAAAACAGTCAAACAAGATATACTAGAAGGCGACCGTAGGTTTAAATGCGGCCGGTTTTTAAGACTTATGAGTTATGAGACAGCGTGTGACGAATGCACACAAACAAATTAAGTACAATATTAGAAAAGTGCACTCGTGTGCTTGATTTTGACACCAAGTCTAAACAGAGTACTACTAAAGAAAATGGAAAAAGAAAAATTTCAAAATTGTCTAACCTTATCCATTTAGACGAAACAGAGAGTTGGCGGTACTGCTAGTGAGTCACTGAAATCACTAAAAGTAACTTTTTTCTGGTTTAAGTCACTTTTAGTCAATTTTACAGACCTACGTTCAAATATGATCACTTTTTTCACTTTTTATTTAATATTTTGGCTATATGCCTTTCTATATATTTTTTTTTTTTTGTGAATCTTGGATCATAATCCTAAAATTATTAATTTGGAAATTAGATGTTGATAAAATATTATTCTCATAGATAATATAAGATAAGATAGTTGTTCTTTCTTAAGATAGTACTATTTTTAATCGTGTATGTGTCTATCACACGATTAAAGATATACAGGTTGCACATCGTCCTATAATAAACGGCTTTCGGATTAATTTACAAAGTTACTATATAAAACAGCTGT